GCAAGATAAAGGTAGAAAACATAATTTAGTGCTGTAAGAGGGCAAATGTAGATGATCAGGTCTGTGCCTATAGACTGAGTATTAATCCAAGCTAGACAAGGGCAACAAAACATCCATGGATGCAGAAGATTTCTCTCAAGACAGTGGGGGTGAGGTTCTAAGCCTCCCCTCTGTTGATCCCCAGTTTCTCACGTGATGGCCCCCTGCGACTGTGCCTGTCTTAGGTTGTTCCTCCCTTGAGGAATCTTACCCATCTCTGGCTAACCAGCCATCTTCCAGGGCCATATAGGGAAATGTAAAGTTGGTAAGTGAGAGAAAAGCAATATTGAAGAGGGACTTTTAAACATTCTTACAGATGAGACAACTGAGGCTCAGAGAAGCTCAGTTGCCCAAGGTCATAGGAAAGTAGACATTTTAGCTCTGGTCTGCCTGCTTCCAGTACAAGTGACATCTGGGTAAATTCAAAGAACTTTGGTTCCAGGCCTGCAGGGAATGAGTTCTGGTGATTTCCTAGATGTTCTAGGTTCTTTCCCACTGTTATTTCAGATTGTTCTCTGCAGCATGCTTTCATTCAGGCTCGGTGCCTCAGGATGGCACATTGGAACACACCTTGGCCATGGCCTCAGTCTCAGGTCTCAGGTCACCCAGGTCAGGTATGTTTAGTGAGTCAGGTCACCTCCCCAAGCCTCAGGCTGCAGACAGGCCAGAACTTCGTGGTGTTTCTATCTCCACCCCATTCCAAAAAGAATCGGATGCAGCTTACAAAAATACATCTGGAACATCGGTCCTATCATGAGAAACCGTAAGGCAGGCCAGAATTGAGAAACATTTGACAGATATTTGGCTGATGCTCTTTCGAAGTGTCAAGGTCATGAAAAGCAAAAAGGACCCATTATACCCTGCAGAAGACTGTAGAGAATTAACTAAATGTTAAAAGGGATTCTGGATAGGATCTTGGAGAATAGAGCAGTAGTGGAAAAACCAGTGAAATTTGAATAGGGCCTTTACTTTTAGGTGGGTAATAGTGTATCAGTGTTAATTTCCTGATTCCCACCATTGTACTGTGATTAAGACGTTACCATTAGGGGAAGTTGAGTGAGGGAGATAAACTACTATTTTTGTGAACTTTAAGTCTAATGTTAGTTCAAAAAAATTTAAACATTAATTTATGTAAGAAACTGTTATATGACGTATTGACCAAAGGAAGACAAAAAAAGCCTTTAAGGCAGAGAAAGACAAATACCATATGATTTCATTCATATGTGGAATCTAAAAAACAAAACAAAGTAAATGAACAAAACTCAAATGCAATAGACTCAAAGACACTGAGAAGTGACTAGTGGTTACCACTGGCAAGGGGTTGGGGTGGATGAAGGGGATAAAGAAGCACGAAAGTCTCAATCATAATATAAATTAGTCACAGGGATGGAAGTACAGCATAGAGAATATAGTCAATAATTCTATAACATCTTTCCATGTTGACAGTAACTACACTAGTTGGGGTGAGCATTTAGTAGTGTAGATAACTATTACATCACTATGTTGTATACCTGAAGCCAATGTAATATTACATATCAAGTATACATCAATTTAAAAAAAGACAAGATAAAAAAAAGTATGGATCCCTTTAAGTAAGGATCCATAGCTGTATTAAAAGAAATATAGCTAAGTGTAATAACAACCAAAAAAACAGTAAAAACAAAAAACCCAATAAGGTAAGGAAAAAGTTACTGCAAAGTGAGGAATAAGGGCAGGGTAAATAAGATGAAGAGATGAAGACAAAGGTGAGGCAAGGCCAGGTACAATTGCCAGACCAACTTCAAATTTGGCTCTGAGAAACCTAACAGCAAACGCCAAGAAGGAAACACAACTGGTTACGTGATTCACAACATGTCTAAGAAAGGAAAAAATCATACCCATACATGGGATCCTATGTAGCCTCTAGAAAATTTTATTGTAAAATATTTAATGATACAGAAAAATATTCATCACATATTAATGAATACAAAATTAGCAAATCACAAAACAATATGTAGTATATGAAAGCTGTGGGTGAGTGGATTATGGCAAGTTAAAATTTGTGTTTTTTTCTGTTTGTATCAGTTTTCTATTGCTGTGTTAAAAATCACCACAAATTTAGTGGTAGTTACACTTACTGCCTTACAGTATCTCTGGGTCTGGAATCCACACAAGGCTTAGCATGATCTTCTGCTAGGGGTTTCACAAGCCTGCTATCAAGGTGTCAACTGTTCCATGGTTCTTGGCTGGATCATGTTTCTTCAGGATCCTCTTCCTAGCTCATTCAGTTTGTTGGCAGAATTCAGTTGCTTGTGGTTGTAGGACTGGTTCCTATTTTCTTGCTAGTTGTCAGATGGGGACCATTCTCCTCTCCCAGAGGCCACCCAGGGTTCCTTGCTACATGGCCCCATGGGCAGTTTACCACATGGATGTTTGCTTTCTTCCAAGCCAACAGAAAGCATCTCTCTTTATCTATAACCTCTAGATCCCTTTTAAGAGTTTTCCCCATTAGATCAGTCCCACCCATGATAATCTCCCTTTTGATGAACAGAACTGATTAGGGATGACATCTGCAAAAATCCCTTTTGCCATGTAAAGTAATATAATCACAGGGAATACTATAACAACATATCCATAGGTCTCATCCATGCCCAAGGGGGAGGATTTACAAGGCTATGACTCACTGGGGGACATTTTAGAATTATGCCCACCACACTGCTTATCTGCAGTTTCTGACTTCTTTTTTCTGATGCATATGCTTTACTTGCAAAATAAGTAAAAACACAATGGAAGTTATTAAAAAATAAAATGCAAACCAGTCTCCTTTGAGAAATACAAGTGCTGGAATGTAAGAGATGTTTCTCACATGGGTCTTCATAGAAAGGACTTTGTGTGAACCTTTGTCAGCTAAATCTCTATTGCAGAGACAGAGTTCCTCAAAGCTGTTTATCGTAACACCCTCAGCATAGGACACAGGCTTCATGATAATGTGCAGTAAAAGTCATTCTGTGAGTAGCCAAAAATGACAGAGCCCAGTTTTGGGCAGAGGGGTCACAGTCTATAGATTTCTATGTGACATCTATAACAAATTCATTTAATCTGGAGGATGAGCTAATTTAATCTGGGGTTCATACATGCGCTTTGGATAAGTCTATCTATGAACTTCTTAAAACTATATGCAAAATTCTGTGGATGTATGCATTTCTTTGAGGAGGGACTCCACTGGTTTCATCAGATTCTTAATAGAGGGTTTTAACTCAAAAAATTAAAGAACTATTGTTCTAGAGCAGGATTTCTTTACCTTGACACTATTGATACTGGATTTTTCATTGTTTGGAGGCGATTGTTCTGTGTATTGTGAGATGTTTAATAGCATCCTTAGCCTTTACCCATAGAAAACAGGAGTCCCCCCAAATTGTGACAACCAAAAAAATCTTGTGGCATTGCCAACTGTCCCCTGGAGTTAGGGTACCTCACTTTGAAAAAGACTGATCTGGAAGAATAGAAGAACAAATTTAGGTGATATCTGGATTAAAACAGTCTTGGATGCAAATTGCATCTCTACCAATTATGATCATGGGTAAATTACCTCAGTTCAGGTAGTTTTCTCATGTGTAAACTAGGAATATAATACCTCTCCAATAAGATTCTGATAAAGATCAAAAGAAATAAAGCATGCAAAGTATTTTGCAGAGTGCCTTATATGGTAAGCTCTTAATATATGGTAGCTATTAATATTGCTTCCAATGTTGAAACCATTAGTGTTTCCTCATGTGTTTTACTTACTCATTCAACAGATATTTATTAACTGGTGTTTGTGTACCAGATTTTTCTTAACAAGTTCTACCTGAATTATTCTTCCTCAAGCCCTTTTCTGGAAGGTACTATTATCATCTCTCTTTATTGTTTGTAAATGGCACTTTTTAATGCCAGCATAATATTCCATCACATCTATTTATATTCTTGGCCCTGGCCTCCCTTCTGAGATCCAGACCCATATGCCTACCTGGATATCACCCCAGGCACATTTCAATTCAACCTCTTTGGCCAATTAGCCCAGTGCCTTCCACCCAGGAAGCCTTCCTTGAAAATGAGCTGTTACTGGCCATCAATGTCATTTTTAGCTCCTGCTGTCTGGTCCACCTCTTGGTACTCCTCAGTGGGTTCCCAGAGTCACTTATTTTCTGTGAGCCATCTTGGCCCTGGGTTAAAGCTCTGGTTTGTTGTCTGCGTGGGGAGCCTATAGGAGAATTCAGCCTGGTTTTCCCACCTGCACGCAAGAACTGTAGCACTGAAAATGGAGACACTCTCATGCCACGCCCATACTGCCCTGAGCAGTTTGGGGGTAGAAGTTACTAGAAGTAGACAGGATGTAAAGTTCTCCCACAGCAGCCCCACTGGTTGTGGCAGCAAATGATTCCCGGTGCTTCATGACCCAGTAGGGGCCCATGGGAAAGAGCTAGATTTATGCCATTAGCATAGTTATAGCAACATTATGTGACCCAGAACTGTAGTTCATGGTTCTTGGGGTGACAACAGGGAGCAATTTGGCAGCCACGACCAGAAACGCAGGGCAAGGCAGTAGGCTCGGGGTGGGAGAGACCTTGGCTGCATTCAAGTCCCAGCTTTGCATCTCACTATTCAGGCGGAGACGACCAGCAAGTGGCTCAGTCCTGGTCTTCCCGTTTCCTCATCTGGAGAGGGACCCGTGGTGAGGCTAATGATGGTTGACATTCCTAGAGTGCTTACCGTTTAGTTAAAATACAGGAAATTGTTTCTAGTCAACCATTGAGTTATTTTAAAATAGCATTTTTTCTTTTAAATACATAGTTATACTCGCCCACCTCACACACACCCTCGATAGGACCCTTGATGACGTTTACAAAATAAATAGTGCAGCTATACGCTATATATTTCGAAGATGGAAATCATCCAGTACAAAATGAGAAATGCTTCCCTTTTTCGAGCGTTTGCCATCTACAAAAACAGAAATTTCATAAAATTCAACCTAGTATGTGTCAACCACCGTTCTAAAGCTTTTAAGGTATTAAGTCGCTTAAAATCCCCAACAACCCCGTGAGGTAGGTACAATTATTAAACACTCCTCGGTATTAATTAGTATTTCTCCTAAAGAGAAGCAGAAGGGTCTGAGGGAGAGTGCCGGCAACCTAAGCGGCCTCCACAAGCGACCTAAAAGTTTGAGAAAAATAGAAGTCAGTATATGTAATTAACTAAGTGCCAAACAGGAATATCTGCCGTATGGCCGAAATACACTCCCCTGCGGCGTCACACTCGGCACGTACTTGGTTGGAAGCGCAGTCCCTCCCGGGGCGAGGGAGGTAGCCGGCTCCGGGGACCGGCATCTGCCTCTACGTGTTTTCCAGGGAAAAGCGCGCGGGGCTCCGCCGCCTCAACCAGTCTTGTTGAAGTAGGCGTAACCCACTAGGAACAAAAGCATTCGGAGTGACGGCAGCGCTAGCCACTCAACACGGAGCTCTGGCGCGCCCCCAGTTGGAGCCGAACTTCTAATTGGTGAAGTCCTTGTGAGCGGGTCTCACGGAGCGTGGGAGCTCCTCCTTCCTTGGTGTGCTCAGCCAACCGTGGCGTCTGGACGAAAGCCGCCGGGTTAGGTTGAACTGTGTGTAAGGCTTCGAGGGACTTGAGGGCGGGGCTGCGAGCAGGCCGGGGGCGGCGGGGAGGGGACGCATCCCGCGGGTGCGCGGAGCGAGGACGGTGACAGCCACGCGCGCACGTGCGCGTCCGGCTGCAGCACCGCCCCAAGACCTCTGTTCGCCGCTGAGAGGCGCGCGGGGTCTGAGCCGCAGCCGTCTAGGGGCTCCGTTCCGGGCGTCCCCAGCGTCCCCGGCTCGAGTCCCGGAGCGCCGTTCCGTGCCTGCCCCGTCTGTCCCGGTTCGGGTTTCTCCCCCGCGCGGCTGTCAGAGCCCGCTCCCCAATTCCCCTTTCCGTTCCCGGGGTAGGGTCCTCACGGCCCATGCTGGCCGCTGGGGGCCCTCGCCACTCAGACAGCTCCCGGGCCGGCCGGCCGGCCACCATGGTGGCCCTGAGGCCTGTGCGGCTCCTCCAGGGAGGTTAAGAGGCCCAGAGCGCAGGCATCGGGGCGCGAGGGTCCCGGGCCTGAGCCCCGCGCCATGGCCGGAGCCATCGCTTCCCGTATGAGCTTCAGCTCGCTCAAGAGGAAGCAGCCCAAGACGTTCACCGTACGGATCGTCACCATGGACGCCGAGATGGAGTTCAATTGCGAGGTAACCAGCCAGCAGCAGCCCCGACGGGCTGCGGCGAGGGGGAGTCCCGCGGAATCCGGCGGAATCCCCGTTCCCCCGGCCCCGGACACAGATCTGGGCTCCACTGCATGGTGACAGTTGAGTTAGAGGCTTGAAGGATTCTGCTTATAATCACCTCTGGGCACAGATAGAGACCTCAAGAACCGGAAGGAGCCGTCTAGGCCCAAATCCTCCTGTTACAGATAATGACTGCTTTTTTTTCATAGAGCTGTTGAGTTTGGAAGCATTTCCTGAAGGTTTTCATTCATTGTTAATACACGAGGCTGGAAGCATCAGTGATTTCTGGTTTTCAATCTCAGGCTTAAGTTCCAGCTCTCTGGGGTTTTTTACTTCATTGGGTAATATTAATGTACCCCAGGTAGTCAAAGTTGCATCTTGTTTGTTGGAAACTCTGTACTTCTTTTCGTTTTCCAAAGTTTACATTTTTCTGGAAAAACTCTGAGTCTTATACTTAACTTTCCATATGTGATGGAATATATGTATTCCATCGTGATAATAATAATTATCATTTGTTGAATACTTCCTCAGTGCCATTCATACATTTAATTCTCACCGCAACCCACTAAGGTGGGTACCCCAAGTCATATATCTAGTAAATGGCAGAGTGGGATTTTAAATCAAGCTCTTAACCAGTACAGTACTGCCTCTCAAGTAATTTAAGTCCTTGCTACTTAAGGTGGGTCTGTGGACCAGCAGTGTTGGCTGCAGTGACCTAAGTCAGGGGTTGGTAAACTTCTGTGAAGGGTGGCATGGTAAATACTTTCAGCTTTGCGTGCTCTAGGGTCTCTGCTGAAACTGGTCAGTGTTTAGCTGTACCACTGTAGTGCAAGAGCAGCCTTAAGATTGACTTACACCATGACATCATGAGGAGCTCCATTGACCTGCTCCCCTGTTAAGAGTAGTGAAAATTACCTTAGAAAGAAAACCCTCAGGTATTATGATTAGTACACATGGTGTGTGGGGGGGAGTCATGGGCAAGACAGTGTAGCACAGAGAAGACAAGTAGTGACTCTGTGGACCTTACTACACTGATGGACAGTGACTGCATTGGGGGGTGGGGGGACTTGGTAATATGGGTGAATGTAATAACCACATTGTTTTTCATGTGAAACCTTTATGTGTATCCTAATGATATCTTAATAATAATGATAATAATAAACCCTCAACAACTGTTGAAGCCCTCTGGAAATGGTCCCAAGGGCAAACGTCAAGTGAATACATATTTATTCAATAAAATTTATGAAAATTCAGTAAGAAAGGCAAGAGTCTGATATTTGAACCAAGACCACTCCCTCCCTTCTTGCTTCCAGCTCAGCAAGGTGGAGATTGATGCAACCTAGAACACAGGGCTCCCTTTCCCCTAGCTCCCTGTGAGACCACTTTCTTCCCTGGGGAGCAGGACTTCAGTGCTTTTTATCCTGCCCAAGGCTACTTGTTGCTGAGGCTAAATCCTGGGTGTGTGCAGTTGAAAGATGTGGTCTCCTTCTTCCACCCGGCTCCTATTTAGAGAATGGGGGCTGTCTTGTGTGTATGGCACACTGAGAATACTGGGATGCCAATTGCTCTTGTCCTAGCCGCAGCTTCTGAGTTGGTGGTTCCATGTCAGGAAAGACAAACTGAGAAGATCTCAGGCTGGTGTGTCCCTCCCTCCCTCTTCCATCATGGGCTCAGAGATTTTGCCTGGAGGGAGAAGCAGGCTATAAAACCCTTAGCTCTTCAAGCTCTTCCCAAAGGAAGTGACTTCATTTTGCAATAAGACGTGGAGAAATGTATGCCTAGGAGTACTCTTAAGAACTTTTGATGAAGGACAATTAAGGAGATTTGTTGATTTACTGGTGATACAACCTAGACTGTAGGCCAGTTTGCAGAAGAGAATCATTGAATAAGACAGATGAGAACCCTTTTGGGGTCATTGAACACTGACTTTAGAAACGGTTCCCTCAAAAAAACCACCTTTTGATTGAATTACTTTGTAGAGCATGTTATACCTCAGGCATGTTTGAAAATAATAGAGCAACAAAACACAATTAGTGGGGTTAACAGCTGGGTGTGATTAGGGAGAGGAAGAGAGCCCTACTAAAACTGCTGTCATCTCAGGGTGACTGTGGCCATACCCAAAGCTGTGCCTCTCTGAGGAACAACATTACAGACCTTAACACTGTACCAGGGAAATAGATTTCACTAAAAAAATTCAGCCAATCACTGAACAAATGAACAAGCAAATAACAATAACAAGCCCTTGAGTTGTGATTATAATAGTAACAGTCTCCAGAGTTGGTGCAACATACAGTTGATCCTTGAATAACTGGGTTTGAACTGTATGGGTTCATTTATATGCCGATTTTTTTCAGTAGGTACATTGGAAATTGTTTTGGAGATTTGTGATGATTTGAAAAAACATTTCTCTAGCTTGCTTTATTGTAAGAATCCAGTTTATAACACATGTAACATATACATATGTGTTAATTGATTGTTTATGTTATTGGTAAGGCTTCTAGTCAACAGCAGGGTATTAGTTAAGTTTTGGGGGACTAAAAAATTAGATGTGGATTTTAAACTGTGCAGGGGGGTTAGCACCTCTAACCCCCACCTTGTTCAAGGGTCAACTATTATCTAAAATATCCCATTTCCAACAAAAAATTACAAGGCATGCAAAGAAACAGGGACATGTGACCCATACAATGGAAAAAAGCTAGCAACAAATTGCCTGTGACAGTGACCAGATGTCAAATTTAACAGAAAAGTTTAAAAATTATTATAATATGTTATTATAATAAGCTATTATAAATATGTTCACAGAACTAAAGGAAAAGATAATTAAAGAAGTAAAGGAAGGTATGGTGACATTTTTACAACAAATAGAAAAATAGCAATAAAGAGATAGAAATTATAAAAACCAACAAAATTCTGGAGTTGGAAAGCATAATAACTGAAGTAAAAAATTCACTAGAGGTGCTCAAAGTAGATTCAAACTGGCAAAAAAAAAAGAATTAGCACACTTGAGAACTGATTGATGGAGATTATGCAAGCTGAGGAGTAGAGAGAAGTAATGAAGAAAAATGTAGAACCTCAGAGAAATGTGGGAGATAGGTAAGTGTGTACCAACATATGTGTAATGGGAATATGAGGAGAGGAGAGAGAAGATATATAAACGGCTGAAACTTCCCAAACTTATTGAAAACAGTAACCTATACGTTCATTCAGGAAGCTCAATAAATTCCAAGGAGGATCAACACAAAGAGACCCACAAGCAGACACATCATAGTAAAAATGCTGAAAGTCAAAAAGAAGGAAAAAATCTTGAGAGCAGCAAGAGAAAAATGACTTGGCATTTATAAGGAAACCCCAATAAGATTAACAACTGACTTCTCAGCAGAAACTGGAGGTGAGAGGCTATGTGATAATATATTCAAAGTGCTCAAAGAAAAAACTTGTCAATTAAGAATCCTGTGTCTAGCACAGCTGGATATAAATGAAATGGACATCTGAAAAATAAAGGTGAAATAAGGACTTTCCCAGATAAAAACAGAATTTGTTGCTGAAAGATCTGCCTTACAAGAAATACTAAAATTCTTCAGGCTGAAAGCAAGTAACCTCAGTCATTCAAATCTGTTGAAAAAAAGACAAGACAAAGTGCAAAGGTAAAGATGATTATATCAAAAAATAGTAGAAATGCATATTTTTCTCCTTGTAACTGCTTTAAAAAGAATTGTATAAAATAATATGTATGGAATATATATACTGTTGAGCCTGAAACATAGATATGTAACATATTGTTATATGCTTGTCATTAACAACACAGAGGAGGTGGGTGGGAGCAAAGCTGTAATGAGCTAATTAAATGACCACAAATGGTAGAGTTAGTAACTGTAACAATGTATTGTTGGGCTTGTAACTGTAATAGATACATAGAACAATAATACTACAAAAGGGAAAGGGAAAGGAGCTATATAGTAGTAACATTTCTATATATCACTGGAATTAAATAGTATAAATCTGAAGCTGATTCTGATAAGTCAGGATTATTTGGTAAACCCTAGAGCAACCACTGAAACAAAGAACTTAATAGTGGGAAAAATCACTTAAAAATTGAAATGCTTCATTAGAAAATATTTAATGCAAAAGCAAGTAGTAAAGGAAGAATAGAGAAAGACATGAAGCACATAGAAAACAAAAAGTAAAATGGCAGTTATATAATAATTACATAACTAAATAAAGTGGACAAATTTCTGGAAAGACACCTAACTACCAAAATTTACTCAAGAAGAAAGAGACAATCTGAATAGACCTAAAACAAGAGATTAAATTAGTAATAAAATACTACCTATAATGAAAGGCCCAGGATCTTCCCACTAGAGGCCCAGATGGCTTCACAGAATTCTACCAAACATTTTAAGAACAATTAATACTGACTCTTCACAAACTCTTCCAAAAAAACAGAAGGGGAAGGACCACTTCCCAACTCATTTTATGAGGCTGGCATTGCCCTGATACCAAAACCAGACAAAGATATCACAAGAAAACTAGAGACCATTATCTCTTATTAGTATGGAAGCAAAAGTGCTTAATAAAAATACTAACAAACAAAATTCCACACATAAAAAGATTTACACATGATAACCAAGTGGGATTTATTCCAGGAATACAAGATTGGTTTAACATCTGAAAATCAATTAATGTAATGTATCAATAGACTATAAAACAAAAGTCACATGATTATCTCAATAGATAAAGAAAAGGCACATGACAAAATCTAACAACACTTCATGATAAAAGTACTCAACAAAATAGGAATAGAAGGGAACTTCAGTAAATGGCCAACTGAAAAATCCACAACCAACATCATACTTGATGGTGGAAAAGTGGATGCTCACCCCTAAAGATCAGGGACAAGACAACCGTGTCCATTCTTGCCATTTGTATTCGACATTGTAGTGAAGGTTCTAGCTAGGACAGTTAGG